GGAGGATCCTGCACCAACTAATGCTGTGTTCCTGATCAACGATCTCAAACTTCCCATCACCGCCCTTGATATCGCTGCCCACTCTGCCAGGGACAAGGTAATCGCCCAAGTCCTTGACTGGGTGGGAAGGGGGTGGCCTGCAATTCCTTATGCCCCCGAATTCGTGCCTTTCAAAACCCGCCAGCAAGAACTGTCTTCTTTGCAAGGCTGTTTACTTTGGGGAACTAGGGTAGTTATCCCTTCCAAGTTGCAAGCCTCAGTTTTAAAGGTCCTGCATGAAGGGCATCCCGGCATTGTCAGAATGAAAGCCCTAGCTTGCAGTTATGTATGGTGGCCGGGCATGGATGCTCAGATTACAAGTTGGGTGAATGCTTGTCAGCCATGCCAAGTTACCAGACCTGTTCCACCCACATCCACTCCAGGCAGGTGGGAAGATTCTGGGACCCCTTGGTCCCAGGTGCATATTGATCTGGCTGGCCCCTTTTACGGGCGTACATTCCTGGTGATGGTTGATTCTTTTTCTAAATGGGTAGAGCTGACCTTGATGACCACAACTTCAGAAGCCGTCACTAGAGCTCTATCAAGGATATTCGCTACCCATGGCCTCCCTGACACTATCGTGTCTGATAATGGCCCCCAGTTTACTTCCTGTGAGTTTGAGGTCTTCCTAGCTAACCTGGGAATCAGGCACGCACTTACAGCTCCTTTCCATCCTGCCAGTAATGGCCTGGCTGAAAGAGCAATCAGATCTGCTAAGGAGGTCCTGGAAAGGCTTGGGCCCATAGATTGGCACTCTAGGCTTGCTAAGTATCTTCTAACCCAGCACACAACTCCCTGTGCCACCACTAATAGGTCCCCAGCTGAACTTCTCATGGGTAGACGTCTGAGGAAGACTTTAGACAGACTCCATCCATATTATGCCCCAGTCACGCCCCTAGGATCAAATAGCCAAGCAAGGGAGTTCACTGAAAATGGCCAGGTCTATGCCCGGAATTATGAGGGACACCCTTTGTGGATGCCTGGGCAGATTGTGGCGGTAACCGGTCCTAAGTCTTACAGGGTCCAACTGCAAGACGGGCGCATCTGGCGCCGCCATATTGATCAACTTAAAAGGCGTTGGAGTTCGTCTGCAGATGGCCCTCAAGACGTTCCTGCAACAGAGAAACCACCAGCGCCCGAAGAAACTTCCCGCAAATCTGACAGGAACGCAAGCCTACCTGAGCAGCCATCTGTCCCTCGCCCAGAGACACCTGAAGCCGAGACGCCAGTTTCGTCGGCACCAGAAGTTGCCCATCAAGCAGAAATGTTCCTTCCACCAGCAGCTTCGTCAGAACCTAGAAGATCTGGCCGCCTGCGCAAGTGCCTGAGTTATCTGAAGGACTACGCATGCTCCGTTCTGGGGGAAAGGAGTGTGGCGTTCAGAAAAGACTGAGCTGAAGGCTTCACTCCGGTCCGTGTTTCCAGCAGGAACACGCACCGTTCCTATTGGCTGATGCCGTTTGACAGCCGGCTATAAAAGGGAGCTGTCAAACG